CCTTTTTCTTCTTTAACTAAAGCCAGAATGATCTCAAAGACACTTCACAGACCTGTTTGTGCAAGCAACAACCTTTTGGCACGATTAAGGGTGTCTTCAGTACTCATTAATTACCTTTCTTTTGTAAAACTAAGAAGATTAACCAATTCAACAACTACATCCACATTTAACCTATTTTCCTAAATATCATAGAAACGATTGCGCATATTGCCATGAAGTTTAGCATCCATATTGCTGTAGTTTATTTGTTCAATGTGTCATGCAACAAATAGGATGCCCAGCCCACAGGGGCTTACAAGACAATAACAAAGCAGACAAGAGCTAAAACAATATGAGCCAAAAAATAGAAAAACATTGAAGTACAAGACAAACAAATATTAACATAATGTACCTCCTGAGAGATTAGAACATTAGCACTTGTAGGCACTGGCTAAAACTTTACTTCACCAAACATAAAGTGTCCTCCTACACTGTTGGCATTTAACACAAACTAAGTGAACTGAAACACTTTGTGTGTAAACAGATACTGAGGTCTATCTTTATCGCTCATAGAAGACAAATCTGGACAGTCCCCTGACATTTAGCAGAAAAGCTGAACTCTAAGAGTCTTATGTAAAAGACAATCAAACAAAAAAACATTTTATTTTCTATCTCTCCTGCTGTAGATCACACCGATAATACTCTCTATCCTCCTCAGGTTTTCATGGTTCTCACAGGATGAAATATAACCATGTTCATGATCCCCTGACATTAACTTTTTGCATCATTTTTGTTCAATATTAATTTGACTGATATACAGTATGCAGAAGCCCTAAGTGGACATGCATTAATACACCTGCAAAACTGAGGATAGAGCTGTTAACTTCAGCTACACTTTGTTTTGACAACATAAGCATGTTGAAAACTAAACTAAGATTTCTTAACATTGCATCTGGTAATCAGGGACTGTGTCAGGGGGCTGCTGGCCCTGCCAATGGAAGAATTCCTACGTGGTGTGCTGAAGTATAGTGCTAAAACAAAGTGGCTTGCCAGCGGAAAAGTAAAGTGCTGAGAATGTTTTCAACGTTGTTTTAATGGTCACTTTTTGGATCAAATTAGCAAATTATGTGGAGCGAAAGTACCCGTCTGCTACAATGTATAGCCTAGCTTCCATGCCTGCATCCCTGCCATTTCTTCAATAGAGGGGCTAAGCTGACCAGTGACTATTATACTTAGTATAAACAAGTACTTGATACAACCTTACCTTTAATAAAAAAAAAAAAAAAAAATTATTCAAGACAAACAATCTTTTCCTTGTTGCTTTTCATATATAATAATTGTCTAATTGTCTTTTTGTTAACACTCTTCTTTATCTTGATGTAAAAAGGCATAAGGTCATCTTTTCAGTGAAGAGTTTTCTCAAAAATCAGCACAGTCCATTATTTAAAGAATGAATTAGATATTTTCTATGAATATGAAACATTAAGTATTTATATATCTATAAATACGTCTGCAGTCGCCATGGCAATAGGACTTACTACCCTTCAGCAGCGTCCATTTCTTGAGTATTGATTAGCTGAAGAACGCAGATACATTCCTAATTCATCTTTTCCTGACCTCTGATGCCCACGGTTCTAAAGGAGCTAATAAAAAGTTTATTGTTCAATCAAAGTGCTTGTAAAAGCAATTTTCCTTGCAACAGTTTTCGTCTCACGTCTAATGAAAAGCTTGTTTGGCTCGAGAAATTCCAGCGGAAGAGAAGCATTCATTAGTGTCTGAAGGTGTTTTAAATTAGCAAGAACAAAAAAATACATCTTTTTTAATCCCCCTGTTGTATTGAAGGATATTAGGTCTACACTTAGGGACATATTTCTAACATGTTCACAGTTTCTGGGCATTGCGCTACACGCACCCCTATTAGAAAGAGGTAATTATGCTTTCACTTTGCTTACAGGGCTGCTGGAAATCCATATAAACGTACGGCTCCATGATTGATACCTTGCCGTGTAGTGTATATATACAATCCCACGTGTGATTCAAGCCATTAATCAAAGCGCTGACAGGACGTATAAATGATTGTAAAGCCAGGGGGAAAAGAGGAATGGTGTGATGGCGTTCAGTTTCCTGGATCTGCTGAGGATGAGTTTGACCTCACTGTTACGACAGCGATCAGGCTATTCTACACCTCCTAGCAGGCTCGCTGTTTCCTGAGCGAGTGGCTCTGTCAGTTCTCTGCTGAGTCATGATGACATTGAGAGTGTCCTTTAATAAGCGTGTTACAGCTGTGGCTGCTTTATTGTCTGTCTTCATCTCAGGCTCCTGTGATAACTGCAGCTCGGTAAAAGAGGCACTCGCTGAAAAATGAAACGCTAACCAAAACCTTTACTCCATTCTGTTAATTGGAAAATAATTAAACTCTGTAATAAATACATGAACCCCCTCACATAGCTTATGTGGAATTAATTTCCCATACTGCTGCAGTCTTTTAAAATCCCTGGTTTCTTGCTTTTTCTGCTGGTTAACTCAGGAATTGTCATCACTCGTGTCAGTATCTGGGGGAGGAAGCACAAAGACAGGTGACTATATCCAATATTAATGCATTCACTCAAATCTATAATTGATCAGACCTCCAAGGCTTGTTTGTGTCTCCCTAGATGGTCAGTCGGCTCTCATGTAATGAGTTGCCTCAAGGTTTTCTGCTTCTGCTCCTTCTGCAGAGCTGATATCTTAAAAGGAACAAAAATCCAACCTGCATGTAAGCCAACGAAAAGATAATCCTGACATTGTCTTTTAAATATGGAAACTATAATCTTCAGTGTTTTTGAAAAAAACTATGAAATGACAATTCTATTAAATTCCAATCTATCAATAAATCAATGTTCCCATATCTGCTCTTCGTAATACTTGCTGTAGGCGGAGTTTCCCAAGGAAATCTCAAAGAAAATCATGAAAGAGAGAGAGCTGGCATCAGATATCTCAGTTTCACATTCTTATGAAATGATACTCCTGTGCTTCTGCTTCTCTCACAGCAGTCTGAGTGTTTTAATACGGACAGATGATGCTCTCACTGCAGTTACATGCATGACTATTTAGAACCAAGGTATATTTCTTAGGAAATAAAACACACATAGTGGTGCCAGCATTGCTCATTTTTTAAGAGAATATGTTGATTTATGAAGGTGAATTTGAAGGTTGTTTTCTCATAGAAGTGACTGAAAGAGAAATGTGTCGCATAGTCCCTCTAACCTGACTGGCCTTTTCTTTTCTTTTTTTTTTTTAATGTTCCTGAAATCAATCTGGTGGATTGACAGACAGAGTATAACAGCAGTGTGGTAAAATGCGACGTCTCAGCTGCACCCGTTGTCACAGGAGTATTTTAAGTAACAAATCTGGCAGCACAGGAGAATGAGTGTCTCCCTGACAACTGTCTTTGTCTTGTCCAGATAGGAAGGATTCACTGTGATGGATAATAACTGGACGTACTCTAGTATGTCTGTTGGCTAAAGTGTCCTGGCACTGAGGGATTTTTCTGTCTTTTTGTTCCATATAAGAGAGCCTGTGGAGACAGAAAAGAGAAATAGAGAGGTGAAGTCTGAGGCTGTGAGCGGGGAAAGGGAGCTGCGAAGTCGAGTGTGTGATATGGTGAAGGGGAGCCATGTTGAAGATTAAGTGAGACCGTCTTGTCCTGGGCTGACACCGGACTTATCACACCGGGCCAGAGGATGATTTGATGCTTGGAGACAGAGATAACAACCGTAAAATCAGTTGTTGGACTATTGTGGATGGGTGAAGGACTTCTTGTTGGAAACAAATTTACAACTTTGTGCATCTCCCAGTGGTTGCTCAGTGTCACATTTCAGTCACACCTCTCACTGTCACGTCGGCTGTCGGAGTGGGCCTCGGCGCTGCTAAGCACTGTTGGAGCGGTTAATATGCATGGCATGAAAGACTGTGAAATGATAGACTGTGAAACCCATGACTTCTACACTCTTGGTTTTCTTTTCTCCTTCATTCCCTAATATCTGACATGACAGTGCCGAGTTCAGCCTGAGATAAATTGAAAGGGATCAGAATGACGTATCAAAAAGCAAAATCTTGCGTCATAAATACTTCATTGGCTGGACGAATAGCTGAAGGTGACAAGCCCTAAAGTCTCTCTGTTGAATACAAATTGATGTACAGTAGAGCTGGAAGAAGAAGGACCTGAGTGCAGAGTTCTGTTTTTAATGCATGAAGGCTCTCTGCAGACAAATGCGAGCGATATGGTAATCTCTCTTGGGTTGCGTGCTGCTGCGCTGCAGGCAGAGCTGCGACATGTCATGAAGCTTGTTTTGGATTTTCGGAACAAGTGAGAAACTGAAGGCTCGTGACCTTGACAGTCACCTCTCACTGTTTGAGAAAAGAGCACGAAAGCGAAAGAAAAATCTTGCAGTAAAAACAGCCTCTGATGTGAGTCACCGCGCATCGTCCTCATCCATCTTTATCTAATATGTGCATATAATGACAATCTCTGCATGCTGAAACTTTTAGTAATTATTTAGATGCAATGATTACCAAAATGCTCTCATCAAGAGGAAGAGATTTCTGCATTCTTTGTTTTTGCACGGATGAAATCCAAAGCTGTGTCAAAATATGATCAATTTTTCATTATGCTCCCCTTTGCACTTTGTTCTCTCTTAGCTACAATGATGCAGTGAAATATTAATGGCAGGACACACATACATAGTTATAGTCTGCAACTCTGTTTTTCTGCTGCCTCCCCTACTGCTTATGCTTCTTTCCTGTTGTTCTGTAATCAGATCAGCGTTCATATCGCACCCAAAGCTGCCAAGTGGAAAAGGGAGCACGCTCAGTCAATGAGATTATGAATGTACAACTTCTTCTCTTGTGTGCTGAGTAATGTTCCCTCCTCAGTAGATGATAAATAACCCAAAACATGTTAAAGCAACTGTAATGCACACAGTAGCGTTTTATTTTTTTCTTCTTCCTGGCTTTAACTGGTCATAATTCTTGTCCTCTAGGTGGTGTTTTCCTGTGACACCAGTGGGAGTCGCCTGCCTCCACTTTGACTCTCTACGGTTGAGGATGCTGATGTGAAACCTGCAATGAACACCTGGGCTTGATATCAGGTGAGTTTACTGTGTTTTCCAAGTCGGTGCATCTTGACTCTGAGCATATGCAGCTCCTCCCTTAGCTGGAGCGACTCTAACTATGCTGAAAATGTTGTGTTAGCAGAGTTGCATCAGCAAATTGAAGGTGCAGTACTATGTAGAGCAATGGGTATTTATTGCATAAATGACTCTGCAATTACAGGTGCAGAGCAGAACTGGGTCAAATGCGCAGATGTTTTTTTTTTTTGTTTGTTTTTGCAGCATTTGTTTTGTACAGTTTTAGCAGCCGTATAGGTGGAGTCATATCAAAATCAACTTTATAACCCAGGTATGTTTAGGCAGGCAGGAATCTGACTCAGGTTTCCAGTGGGTCTTGATGTGCTTACACACAAGTGTAGAGAACATCACATACAGTACTGTGCATCTAAACAGAGACTGAAGCTAAGAAGAGTCAATGTCTGCAGGGTTCAAATAGTGCAGGAGTGTGTGGGAGTGTGCTGAATAAACACTGTATGGCTAATGTAGTAAGGACTCCATGTGCAGACACACTGCAAGATGGCTTTGGTACATTATGTACAACCTGCTGCCATTTACGTTTGACAATAACCTATAGTAAGTCCAGGATATGTATATTACACTAGTACACTCACTATCACTTCTCAATGTACATTTTGATTAATCTAATGCAAACCAATACATTACTTCTTTCATATACTCTTATCATAGAACGATTATAATGTTTCAGTTCTATAAACTACTTTACTTTTATCTCTGAGGATTTTTAGGTTATGGTTTTGTACTGTATAATAGATGCCCCTCTCATATGTGTAATTGGTGGGGAAAACATAAGGACCATCTCTCAGTATATTGTAAAAGAAAGTTGCAGTTCAATTAAAACATTTTCGACAATATCAATCAAAACTGAACAGTCGAAGACAGAATTTATAGATGATGTTTTATTTTTTTTATCACACAAGGGATGCTATCCAGACTGCTCCCTCTCAGCACAGGTCTGATTAAAGGTCTTCAAAAAAGCAAAGAAATGTGAACGTTTTGTGTTTGAAATAAGGGGACACAATGAAGCGACACCTTTTTACAACACAAAATTGTCATCTTCTTTTTTTGCGATCAAATAGGCATAGGCGATCAAAAGGCATACGTTGTGATACCGCAGTACCTGCCTCCCACCCACCAGTGAGTGTACACCAGATAAAGATATAGAGAAGGCAAGGACCTAAGTACCTACAAACAGAGACAGGAAAAAAAAGACAAATAAACATGGAAAGACTAGACCTCCCAACCACATTACCCCACCATAACCAAAAAAATGTCATTTTCTGTATTTGTATTCATTTGTGTTAATATTACCATTACTTACCATCAGAAACAGTTAGTAACCCTGTCCATAATAATTTAATTGTTGCAACAACAAAGTATGACTATGTAAATCCCAAATGATTTCCATGGTTTTCTTTTTCTCTTAAGCATGCAGAGGAGGTAGTTGTACTTTTTCAGCCCTGAGCAGCGCCTGCAGTATTTCTCTCAGACTGCACTCAGCACACACCAGTAAAGGCAGGGGGAACATGTATTGCGCCTGAAAGGCATAACAGGGGGCAAATGTAGGCTTCCAAGCACTTGCTTCACTGCTCACTCCTGTTCTTTAAGCTTATTGCTTTGAACCCATCACTATTTTTAACATCTCTTTTTTACTCGCATCTTGAATTGACAAGTGTTCAGGGAGATTTTTATTATCACTCTATCCTTACCGGGAATTACACCCTAATGTGTATGGTTGTCTGTGTGTACCAGGCCTGACTGTCAATTAAAATCTGTTTATGTCCTGTTTGGTGTTCATTTACTTCCAAGACATTCAATCAGATAATGCAGGAGGCTGCAAAAAAATGCGTATGTGCTTTCCTACAGAAAAAGTAAAGCCCTTGCTACCTGGTGATTTGACTAACTTTGCCAAATGCATCAAATATTTTACCCATGTGTGGCACAAAAGAGGCTCTACCTGGACTCGTAATGTAATTGACTGCATCTTTCACTAACTTGAAATGGGCCGTAAAACACACAAAAACGCTACAGCAGTACATAATCATGGCCTCATGTTTCAATCGTACATTATATAGCACCAAACTATTAATTAAAAACCCTGGCGCACGAGAGGCTAGTTAATGATCTGTGCTGCGTCTTCAGAGAGCATTCAGCGCGAGAATAATCGTGTGCGTCTGAAGTGCAGTAGGTACCTGTATCCCCTTAACATCTGTCTGCTGTACTGCTGAGAAGGTTTGCATCCTGAAAATGTCATCGCACTACATCCAGGCAACATATCTGATTCAGCGAGCTGCCAGTAAGTGTACTTCGCTCAGGGCGTAGTTTCAGGAGACGGTCTCGGTGATTCCCCCGGGGCAGTTGAGTGGGGAGTGGGGGTGGGAGCTTTATTTTCTGCCTCCTTCTGACCCGCTGTGGTCAGAGCCCCTGCGGTTTCAGCGGTCAGGGGGGCATCTCACAGTGCTGAGAACAAAGAAATATGATGGCTCCCACTTGTCCTCCTCTAGTTCAAAGGGAATGGCAGGGCAATGCTAATTAGCCGGCTTGTGTTACTGAATTGAACATAACTGCTGTTCCCTTCAGTGTTCTCCCTCCCCCCTCATAGTACACCTAACAAGCAGCATCTACAACAGTCACGCACCCTGCATAATTCTGCATATTTTGTGCACAGTGAGACATCCTGTTCTGTTTCTGCCCTAAAAAAAAAATAAAACGAATAAATCCCATAGTTGAATTAATCCTTTTTTAAGAGAATAACTCACCTTTTTTTTCCCGGTCAAATAATTCTGTGTTGTGAAAGTACAGCAGTTTTGGCCCTTATGTATTCTTTGGACATCTTCGCCCAGCTGTTCTTAGCAGTGTAGCTTAATCCTGGTTGTCAAGTTTGAGGGCGATAAGAGGCGTTACAACAGGATTCCCCTTCCAGTTCATCTCTGTTCCTGCCAATTTATGCTACTACAAGAAAGAAAAAGCTGCTCAGTAAGTAGGAAGTGAATCCATGTTTTTAATAAGGGATCGAGGGGGAGAGTGAGGAGGAGGTCAAGTTATTACCCTCTCATATTCAAAATTCCAGTGTGCACATTCGCCTTCAATCCTGCGTCTTGTGTTCTCTTGTTATAGTAATCTGATTCCTGCTGTCAATGTTTCCTGGAATACCGAGTAAGGAAGGCGGTGACGGGCTTGGGGTTTACGCTGAGATATCATCTCTGCTTCTGAGTCTCGTTTTCTTCAGCTATAATCATCACCAGAAGTTAATCTGTATACACTCCATGGCACACACGACTCACAATAACACAAGGGCCTTTGTGAATTTGCAGTGGCGCAGCTGAAGCTATTTCAAATGATAGTTGAAGGGAAATATTATAAACTCAAACACACCTGCATGCGTGTGAGCACAAGGCAGATACAGTAGATGCGTAGCTCGAGGCGAGCTGTGCTCAGCGTCTCGAAGCTTTCTCTCTGTTTCTCTCCCTCAGTCAAATATCTTTTTGTTAGTGCAGATGCACTCAGGGTTGGCAAACACATTGAAGAGTGAGTCACTTTAACAGCCTCATCTTGACACACAGCTGACTCATCATCTATTGATTTCTTCATACATCATAATCTTTTGTACTGTTTGTTGTTATGTATCCATACAGGAGAAGAGGGGCTTGGTTTGCCCTCCCGTGAGGCGCATGTCTCGACAACGTCACATGATTAAAAACACTTGCCTGGTCCATAAGCAGCCTTGTTAGTTGTTGACACGACTGAGTAAGAATCTGTTTACATTAATGGCCAAGAATAGCACGATCAGTGTTTGTGAGCACAAACAGGCTTCTCTCCCAGGAGTATCAAAAGAAACCCCTCATCTGTGTTGTCATGCACGTGTAAAGCCCAGAGCTCAGGCATTGAAAATAAAAAGGTGCATTACATTTTGATGCGTCCTTTACAGCTGCACTTGAATCCAAAGAGGTGAGCTGTTAACCTTAAAAAAGGTACCCGTAACCGCAGAAAAAAAAAAAATCCACTGGCAGTTCTTAGTTCTATGAATTTATCATTTCAGTGTTGAAATCAGCAGAGCATCACAAAGAACAGGGCAAGACACACCTTGACTTGTTCCTCTGCACAGTGTTTTAAGTTATTGAAGTCAGAGTTAGTGGATAAAAGTTCAGTATTAGTATACAATACATTCAGAAGTATCCTCAAGCATAAGACAATACATTTATTTGAGCCCTTTGGCGACTAAGACAACGAAAATATCCCAGCTAGTCTCAAATGAATTATGCTTTGTAGTGTATATTGTATGATATTTGCATGGATGATGTATGTTCAGGCACAGTACAGTATAGTTTGTACAGCTTTGGAATTAATGGTGGACTCAATGGAATAGTATTCTGCATTAATTAACGATGAATGTTGGTGCTTTTTTCTATCTTTGAAGAAATTCAAAGATATTCTCTTAAGGTGCTAAAACAAATGTTCACGCACTTCAGATATGGACTTTATGCAAAATAGAAACGATTGTTTATTTTAAAAAGCTATTTTTGAATCCCTACCATAGCTCAAGGGAAGGTCCTCTACCACCTGCGGTCAGAAACACACCGAAACACGTTGACTGCTCTCTTTCATCATAAATGTGCCTGTGTAAATGTTCATCCTCCACCCCCTGCTCTGTGAGATGCTCATGTTGCTATGTTGCCAGTATCAGTGTCCATCTGTGCGTTGGTCTAAACAACACTTTGACAGGAGACCCCTTGTTTTTAACATCTATTCATATCATTTTCCAAATGCTGCGTTTGGGAGTAGGCCGCATGATAGTGGCAGACGAGGAACTGGTTATGAGCCACAGCTCATCCATTGTCTAGCATGCTGGAGAAAGAGTGGGAGCCCCTAAAGAGGCCTGGCAGAGTCTCTGCTTCCATCTGCCTGCATGCCTCGCCATGGAGCCCAGCTCACACACACTTGAGATTATACTCACGTCCAAG